CTCTTCTCTTCTCTGACTCTTCCCATCTCTGCTTTTCATTTGTCCATATTGTCGGAAGTTTGACTTCTAAACTTCCTTCGACAAGACATCACACAACAATACGTCTGACAAAGGGTGGTGAAGCGGTGACATTACATCACATAGCATCACATCACATAACAACACATCACACGACAATACGTCACGTAACAATACATCACATGACAATACATCACACAACAATACATCTGAAGAAGGGCGGTGAAGTAGAGACAATACATCACATAACAATACATCGCATAACAATACATCACCCGACAACACATCACATAACAATACATCACATAACAATACATGACACAACAATACATCTGACGAAGGGCGGTGAAGTAGTGACAATACATCACATAACCATACATCACATGACAATACATCACACAACAATACATCACATAACAATACATCACATAACAATACATCACACAACAATACGTCTGACGAAGGGCGGTGAAGTGGTGACAATACATTGCATAACAAGACATCACAAAACAATACATCGCATAACAATATATCACACAACAATACATCACCCAACAATACATCACATAACAATACATCACACAATAATACATCTGACGAAGGGTGCTGCATGAATGGTGCATGGGGCTTGTATTCGGGAGGAAGCCGGAGCACGAAACCTTGTGTTTTTCCGTGTGAAGTGGCTGCAGGCGGCGATGAAGGGTACCTTGTGTGCGGCGGGTGCGGCTGCGATCGTTTTGATGTTTTTTGGTTCTCCCTTGGTGTTCTGCAACGTGTGGTTGATCATGTGTGCGTAATTTTATGCGCTTGTTAAATCGCTGGCTGTAGCTTGCTGCCATGGTCTGTTGCCATGTGCGTAGATACATGCGGGTTAGCCACGTGATCCTGCAAAACGCATTGTAATGGTTGCATGGATGTTGCATGGGGTTGTGTTGGGGAGGAAGCCGGAGCACGAAACCTGGTTTTTTTCGTGTAAAGTGGCCGCAGCCGGCGATGAAAGGCAGCTTGTGTGTGCGGCGGTTGCGGTCCGTTCGTTTCGGTGTTTTTTGGTTCCCGGACCGTAACGGTGGGTTGAAGCTCCTTTGGATGTGTTTGTGCATGCGTAGTTATACATGTTATACGGTGTTTTGGAATCTGTGGTTGCAGATCGCAGTGGAATGGCTGCATGGTTGTTGTCATGTTCTGTTGCCATGTGCGTAGCTACATGCGAGTTAGCCACGTGATGTTGCCAGACGCATTGTAATGGTTGCATCACGGTTGCTTGGCGCCGCGGCTGCATGCGTAATACTATTGTCTTTTGCAGCTGGGCATCGTAAATCGTATTGGAATGGCGGCACGAAGGCTGCGACAATGATTTGTCAGAAATTTTCTTAATTTTGGAGCTGTTGATTTGTCTTTTCAAATTCATTTTAGAAAGTGCTTCAAAACCGTGTTTTTTTTTGCTTTGGCGCATTTTGGCTGGCGCCGAGATCTGGTTTTGGAGCTGCAATTTCTGACGCCGTTGCGCGTAGTTCTACTATCTGGAGATAGCACTGCAATGGATGGGTCAAGGTTGCTTGTTGCCGCGGCTGCATGCGTAATACTATTGTCTTTTGCAGCTGGACATCGTAAATCGTATTGGAATGGCGGCACGAAGGCTGCGATAATGATTTGTCAGAAATTTTCTTAATTTTGGAGCTGTTGATTTGTCTTTTCAAATTCATTTTAGAAAGTGCTTCAAAACCGTGTTTTTTTTGCTTTGGCGCATTTTGGCTGGCGCCGAGATCGGGTTTTGGAGCTGCAATTTCTGACGCGGTTGCGCGTAGTTCTACTGTGTTTTGCAATTCAATATCTGGAGATAGCATTGCAATGGCTGGGTCAAGGTTGCTTGTTGCCGCGGCTGCATGCGTAATACTATTCTCTTTTGCAGCTAGGTCTAGGTGTACAATATACCACAAGCTTCACCTAACCTAGGTATACAATATAGAAAGTTTGTGCACAAGAGATTCTGTCTGTTACCAAGATTTTTTTTTGCATACAGAAGAACTGAGGTGAGTTATAAAGAGGTGAGATGAGGTGAAAGGTGTTCTCTTCAAGTTTTATAGTACAAAGTACTACTGGGGAGTACTTTGTGCAAGCTTTGTAGTACAAAGTCGTACTGGGAAGTGCTTTGTGCAAGCTTTGTAGTGCAAAGTATTTTGTAAAGACTCTTTCGTGTAAATGCATCTGTGTCTCAAGCTTTCTGACGTGCAGAAGAGCCGGGATGAGTTGAAACTAGCTTCGGTGAGATGAGAAAGGTTGAGCTGTGCTCAGATGAAATGAAAATAGTTAAGAATAAATTAACTGACATTTGAGAAGACATGAAATGAGATGAGAAGAGCTCAGATGAGATGAGATGAAATGAAGTGTGGAGTGTGAAGTGCAAGTGTGAAGTGTGGAGTGCGGGGTGTGAAGAGTGCAGTGCGAAGTGTGAAGAAAATGTCCACTTGGCGTTGCGTTGCGCCGGGGACGCCCGCAGATCATGTTCTTGGACAACAGCACGGCAACAGCTTCGAAAAAAAACGCGCACGCGCTAACCTGGCTGGTGCACGGCACACGCAAGTTCTATAGATGAAAAGGGCCTTATAGTGTAACCCTAAGGCAACTTTCGCCCCGCCTCGTGCGGGCACTACTGGTATACAAATAGTGCCCGGGCAAGCTGGGGGCGGAAATAACAAAAATATAAAACCTAGACTTTTGAAACAAAAGCTGCCTAGAGGATGCCGTGCGGCATCAGGCGCGTTGCAGAAACAATTTCTTGATGTTTCAGTTATCTGAGGTCTCTTGCTCTTGGCATCTCGTTTCTTGTGACATCTCTTGCTTTTGGCTGCTTTGGTCTTGAGATTTCTTTCTCATTTGATCTCTTCTTATCTCATCTCATCCCATCTCACCTCACCGCATCTCATTCCATGTCTTCCCTCGTCATCTGATCTCATCTCGTCTCATCTAATCTCAGTTCTTCAGAACGCATCCCTCCTCATCTCAGCGCTTCTCAGCTCATCTCAGCTTTTCTCAGTTTCAGTTTTTCTCAGCATTTCTCAGCTCAGCTCCTTTCTGGTCCAAAACCTGCTTGAAAACCGAATCTCGGTGCCAAAGGCAAAAAAAAAGATTTTGAATTTTTTTAAAACAATTTTGAAAGGAAAAGGAACATGCCAAAAACGAGGTGAGAAAAACCAAGAAAAACTCAACGTCGCAACTTTGGCGCAGCCACGCCGCAGCGATTTGCAAGCACCGAGTTGCAAAAGACAATAGAACTATATACGCCCGAACACTGTTGACGCAACCACTCCAGTGCGAAATGGAAACGGTGACCTACCAAAGACCATAGAACTGCACGCGCAGCAGCAAAGCAGAGCAACATTGACGCAGCCACTCCAGAAGGAAGCAGCGAGTTGCAAGAGACAAAAAGAACTGAACCGTAAGTTCCGCTGCGTTGCGGATCCGCACCTGATCCAAGCCCAGCCCAGCCGAGACCGTCAGGCAACCGTCGTACGGCAGACCTTCCCCATCCATCTTCCGAGGCACGTTTTGTCCAGCAAAACATAGGATCCCGAGCATCCGTTTTTTCTCAAAAACGCATTTTGTGCGAGGTTTCTTTCAAAAACTACAAGTTGAAGTTGTGAAAACGAAGCTTTGGTGCGAGACTTCGTCGAAAACTGCAAGTTGCAGTTGTGGAAACGAGGCTTTCGTGCAAGGCTTGATACGCCACTATATAGTCCCAAAAACTTCACAACATTAGCCTTGACCAAAGTCATGTTTGCATTCCGACAAACCCAGATGTTGAGAAAGGCTCTTCATCTCGTTCAAACCTGTCACACGCCTGTTGTCACGCTGTTTTTGCAAGACTAATCGTCCCCAAAAGCATGTGAACAATTGACCACGAACACATATTTTCAATTACATTGAAACATTGGTTCACCCACATCAACCTATTGCTCTATAGGATGGGGTTAGCATAGGACAGAATGCATGATGCCAGCAAATCAATTTTCCTTTTGTGCTTTGACTGCAAATGTGCATTGATACAGTGTGAAACTGCTAGTGAAGAAATGTGGCCTGCACGCAAAGCAAATACTGAAGAACCTTTCAGTTTTTTTTTGTAAAAACCACTACATTTGACTGTCAAGAGAAGATTTCAATTCCATTTCTAGGGCTGGTGTTCTGGAGAAGGCAAACCAGTGTGAAGCACCCTGTGTCTGAGGTTTACCTGGCAGATAAGATCGTGTGTCTGGTCAAAAAGTATTTGTACCATGTTTGTATATACATTTTTGCTATACATGTATGAGAGCATGAGAGCAATGTTAAAAAAAACAAAACCTGGCAACGCTGAGGCCATCAAAGGTAAGTGACATGTTTTTCGTGTTCTTTTTCAGATTGTTTCAAGTTGTTTTTTCAAATTGGTTTCTGAATTGTCCTTAAGTCTCCCTGCATCTAAGCCTTCTGAATCCAGTTCAATGAGCTCTTACTTGATTTATCAACACATCGACTCTCTGGTCTGTGCTGGTCCAAGGGAGGAGATTTGTCCTGAATTGCGGCCTGATGCCGAACTCACAAAGTATGAGACGCATGTCTTGGAGCGCTTGAAAGGACACAAGGTGGCCTGATTTAGACTGGAGATTGCTGTCTGTTGTTGTCTCAGCCGTCTTGGAAGTTCTTGGAGGAAATTGCCCGATTTTTTCTCATTGAGTTTTGATTTCTCTTTGCTGTGCTTTCGTTTCAATGACAAGAAACCATTCTTGCTGACATCTTGCCTAGCAGGCCAAATGGAAAACCCTGGAGGAAATTCGCGAGGTTGGACTGCATCACGAATCTCAGAGGGCATTTGTTGCGTCGCCTATTGAAAGTTTTTGATTTGCAAATTTGCCAGCACTTCTTTTCCACATTCTTTTTTGTATATTCTTTTTCTTCATCAAATCTGAAACTGTCCGCTTCCCTCTGTTTTGCTGATATTTGGAGAGCATTTCCCTAGGAAAGCGAGGCGCGCGCCTTCTATGGAGGGCCAAAGAGCTACTCCTACCCATTACATCGGGATCTTCCTGATGGCCACTTGGATTCAAAAAGAGTGGAAGCAAGCAATACACAGGCAACTATGAGTCTACTATGAGTCTAATATGGGTCTACTATGAGTCTAATATGAGTCTAACATGAGTCTAATATGAGTCTAATGAGTCCAATATGATTAGACATGAATGCACGGAATTGCAGGGACATCTCTGGATAGAAGCTTCGGATGTGTTAAAGTGGCTCAAGTCCTTGCGCTTTTCCTTAATTCTCCCAAAGGATCTAAAATTGGAAAGGCCGGGGAAATTAGAGGCAGAAGGGCAAGGCCGTTTTAGGTCTAGGTTTTTGTTTGAACTTATGACATTTATTCGGATGTGAAATGTCAAGTTGTTCCAGGTGATGTGCTGTGTGTGCTGCACAGTGGTTGCCCGAGACTCGGAAAGAGCTTTCCTCTTCACTAGATTGGAATATAGAAGGGTGACCTTGAAGGGCGTGCAAAATTTGAAGAGGATTTGGCTGTAGCTTTGAACCGTTTGAACCGCTTAGCGTGATGCAGACATTTGCAGATCCTTCCGTCTTCAGACTCTTCAGAGTCTTCACTGCCTTCGCCGCCGTCCCAGGCAAAGACGTCGTTATGCTGCAGCCACACCCACGACGACAGATGGCCAGGCTAAAGGTGCCAGGCTGGGAGACCTGAAGACAAGGTTGCGAGGTTATGCGAGTTTGACATAAGGTGATATGTTGACATATGGCTAGCCATATGTTGACATATTGTAGACAGATGTGAAGACATGAGTTGGCATATTTTCACATGGCCAAGCTCACCGCACCCTTGTGCTGATGAGCTACCCTTTTTTGTCGAGCAGGCTTCGATTCGCCACTTGGCTAAAGACTTGTCAGCCTGGCGGAAGAGACCACTATCCAGCAACAAAAAATCAAAAACAAGGCGGGGGTAAGACATCAACTTGGACTGCCATGGGATATGAACAGATCTGCAGCCAATGGTGCAGTCCAAGCCTTGACGGGTTTTTGTGGCGATGCATAGCCTCAGACCTTCCGTGCGGAAACCAAGGATAAGTCAGCAACTTCGCAGCAAATTTAAGTTTTGAGTTTGGAGTCCAAATGGCAGGTTTAGAAAGGGGCAACGCATGAGCTGGTATTTTGGGATATGCTGCACCTTACTCAAGATGTACGGCCAAATCAGAGCAGAAGGATGCACAAGGTATTTGCAAACTCCACTGGAATTTCACACAGTCTGTGTCCATGTCAAGCGGATTCGTTGCCGTTGGGGCCAAAAGCATAGTCCACTCAGCACAGTCCACTCAGTATTGTCTTGATAATCTTGATCTTGCAAAATTTTTGTTTTCCATTCCGTTTCTCTGTTTCTCATGGTCTGAGTGCAGGTTCACCTGGGCCTATGACTTCTTTAGCCAGCCTCCAATCCCTGTGGATGGTTGGGCTGGCACGCTGCGCGCTGGTGAGCTTCTCTACATGCCCGGGGACTGCAGTCTACATGTGTTTGCCCAACGGTTTGTCACTCATCGGTATCTGCAGACTACATACTCCGGCTGTACTTAAAAATCTGTGAGATATCCTCCTGGAGTAGGTTTGTTGAGGCTTCAAAGGTGGAAGACTGATAAGACACAGAAGGCAACTTCATAAAATAAAGCGGTTTCATTGCCCACATGAGAATCTTCAAATGAATGTGGTCATCATCCTTTCTTCAAATGTCTTTGGGCTAAAATTGTGAAAAGTTTCCTTCGAAAAGTTTCATTCATAGGCATCACATCGTTTTCTGTACTCCTTGGACATTCAGCCGAGCTTCAGCTACCCGCTCTAAGCTTTGGAAGAGCATGTGATGTGCACTAGAAACGTGCACTAGAAACTACTTATAGTAATTGAATGTGTAATTTATATCAGATTTATGGCAGATTCATGTTGATTTCGCGAGGAGATGCTGCATCACCTGCGGAATTCTTGCAGGCAAACAGAGATAAGCGGAGGTTTTGGATGGACTTGTTCAGTGTTGGTATCTACCTGAAGAATCTGCTGAGGTTATGCAAAGTTCAGAGGTCATTGGGGTACATTTTCAGATCTGAAAGTGGATTATATCCATGCCGCAGACAAGAAGAGTTTGTTTGCTTGGTTGATTCTCTATGTGTACATGCCAGGCATTCCTTCACCATTTGCCGGCGACCCTGGAGAGCCAGCATGGCTAGGGATGTAGCTTTGGAGAGCCTTGCGCTGTCTGTACACCTTTTATTTAAACAATGTAATGCACAATTATATTATATGCAACATTTTGACAGGAATATTTGCTTGATTCGGAGATGAAGTTCTGGTGCTTCCCTACACATTCCTCTTTGCAGATTGCACTTTATTGGCTTTGAAACATTGGGTACTGTTCGGTATTGTTACATGGACAGGACGCTTTTGATGGATATCCCTTTTGCTCTCAATAGAAGCATATTCACAGAAAAGATCAAACTCTGCATGTGGCAGCATGTGCATCCTGCTGAAGTGTTTGCCTTATTCTTACATCCAAGATTTTTTGGCCCCCTCTTGGATGGCACATCTCTACTTCAGCTTCCTTGGAAGATGTCCTGATCCTACCGGATCCTAAAGACGACTGTGGGTTCTGTTACTGCTGTTACTGCTGTTACTGGTTCAGTGAGCTTTGACACGTCCCGTCCCGAGCTAAGGACGCTGAAGACTTTGCGCCTTGCCAGGGAAGACGACGAAGACGTCACAGAGGCCATTGCCGCACTACGGCAGCGCCGCAAGGCCAGGCGCTAGTGAAAAGCGACCCGTGGAGCTCCATGGAGCGCAGAAAAAGGCGCGAAGGCGCGAAAAACGATTGAAACTCGAAAAACTTATGTGATTTGAAAACGATTGACATTATTTGACATTCACAAACCTTTTAAATTAGGATGAAAGGGGCGAAGTGAGCAGATTTGAGAAGAATTGGGAAGCAAAAGGACAACATTGGGCCCTGCCTTGCTCGTGCCATACCATGCCATACCATGCCATACCATGCCATACCATGCCATGGTGGTAGAAGAAGATGCTTCTGTTTACTCCTTTTGAACAGACATCGCAGCCTTGGTTGTGGATGCCAAGGAAAAGGCTTCCATACAGAGGAACTTCCCCTGTCTCTTGCTCAGCCAGCTGTTCGTTGGAGAGTGGAAAACTGACTTGAGGATGTCAAGGATGGCTTTCAGAATAGCAAACGGGCCGACCATATTCAGTTGAACAGCTTCAGACAAGCTGTACTGAGATGTGCTGAAGAATTCCATGTTTCCGTGCAGCTCATCACATCAGTGTGATTCAATCGGGTCTCTATTTCCTGAAAAGTTTGCTCACACAAGAAGAATCCGTCGAAGCCCTTCCCTTTCCTGGATACAGTATTTCTACAAGATGTTTTGTGATGATCTTATTCAGTGCACCAATGGCAACTGAGGGCCAAACAAATCTCCAGAAGGATTGTCAGCGAAGAAGTGCAAAGGGCTCAACTTTGTATTTGTGCAGTGAAAAGCGATCAAGTCCTGCAAAATTTTGGAGGTAAAAGCAGAAGAAGTGCTCAAAACTCGTAGCTCAGCCGGGTCTTTACTGATATGATTTGCCAAAACTTGGATCTTGGTTTGACACCAAGTGGCGGCCGTGCAGGCCGGTGCTGGAATCTGACGGCAGTTTCTTCAGGCATGTGAAAGCCAAAGAAATGCTCAAATCCTGTCTTTCAGCAATTTTGGACAGATTTACAACTGTTATGGAACAAGTTGTACAGGTTGCATCCACCAAAGTTGCACCTTTACACTCCAATGTCCAGCGAATCTCTGGAGGCCAGCAGAGGATATCTATGAAGGCCTCTTGGGAAGCGAAGGCAGCCAGCGGTCAGGGATCTCAGCTCAAGTTGCATCGAGCGTTGCCTTCAGTTTTCCAGTCGCCTCATATCGTCATGCAGAAAGTTACATAATGACATAATGCCTCCGCTGAACACATTTCCAGCAATTTCAATCATTTTCCTCTTTGTTTTGGTTTGTCTCCCTTTGCCCCTTGTAAAGAAAGTCCTAACAACTTGCAATATCTGTAGGTGCGCCCTGCTGGAGACTTTCATGGAGCTTGGGGAGGAATTGCAGTTGAAGCTGGAAATCGACGATGATGATGTGATGATGATGGTTTGAGATGGTTTGAGATGTTTGAGTTTCGATGAAGGTCCGTGCAATGAGTTTGAGGGTCACCTGGGTCACCTGAACCTTCCTGAAACTAGACTTGTCATGTTGCAGCATTGCTGCGATGATGTAGGCAGTTGGCAAAACGTCGTTGACCAAATGATGTTTTTGATGACTGTTGAAACATGGCAATGGAGTTGACAAGCATCCTGTGACCCCCAAATCATCCCAAATCTATGGTATGATACGCAAAGACATGATTTTCCTTCACCTTTCTCTGTCGACCTTTGGAAGAGATTTGCCTTTCGACTTGACATGCCGCAGATACACGTTCTGAATTCCACAAGCTTAGAAGAGATACATGCTTGTCGAAGGAAGAGGGCAAGTCCAAGGAATATGACCATGAGATAGTCAAAGGTGGTCCGCTACAATCAGAATCCATGTGTGACTGGCACGTTTTACCGACAATCCCTGGGCATCTTATGTATTTTTGGTATCTCCTGTGTTGCAAGCGAAGTAGAAGACAAAATCTCTCTCGATATGCAAGACCTTGTGCGGTGACCGTCCGCCCGCTTGAATCTATCCGTTGAATCTTTAGTGGTGAAATAGGTGCGAACGTTTTTGTCAGTCAGTTTGCCTTGCATTAAACTGGGGCTTCCGAACCGCGCTACTTGAACATTCTGATCGCAGCAATGCCCACAGTAGATCCAGCACTCCAGCACCAGCTTCACGGCATATTGAAGGCATTTTGCACAAAGTCTGCAAAGGAAGGTAACAAAATGATCACTTTGGCCATTCCTTGTTTTAAAGGTTTCATCCTTTTTTGAAGTAAACATGAGGTGTTTACTAAATTCTATAGAATTTCGGAATAATGGTATGTCGGAATGCCAGGCCTGGGCTTGTGCAACTCACTGCTGAGATATCAGAGAGGGCCTCTCAAGTGGCCACTTGGGTCCTTTTCTCAGAGAATTCATACCTATTTTGGAATGGGAAAGTTTTTGGTGATGTCACTCAACTTCTGAACCAATTTGAACACAATATGCATTCTCTCTGCCTTGTAGAATCATACCATGCTCAATGTGGTCAATTCACTTGTCCCAAAGATTTGTCAACCACAAATCTGTCATGCTTTTCCGGCTTCAGTACTCTAGATACGAATGTCCATGACATGCCGAGGCACCAAACATCTTGGACTTTCAGGTGCGAAACATGTGAAACCATGAAAACCCGATGGTCCGAGCTGTCCTGACCTGGGGGCGAATACCTTAGGCCTTAGGACGCAACCATGAAGACACATAAGACACATAAGACACGTGAAAAAAATGCAATCCTGTTGCGTTGGCGGCGTTGGCACGATTTCCCATTGACATCAACCAAGTTATCGTGGTTACGTGACAGGTGACGTCCCGAAGCCCTTTCATGTTACTTGAGGCAGTGCACATGCGCATGGGGCCGAAGGGGCTTGTGCAAGACAGCCATAAGATCCATTACAGCTTGTGTGGCTACTGTATGTGCAAAAAATGCACCAGACATTTTGAGATTTGTTCATCCTTGATTCTATGCTTGCATGTACAGCTGCTTTTCTTTTTTGCATTTATTTGGCTCTTCGCATTTCGAAACTATATTTTTTTGATGAAGCGACTGAAGCGGCAAGGCTGGTCAAACTCGTGGTGACAAGCCTAAGCCACCGAAGCTTAGCAGTGACGCCATCCTGAAGTCCCGGCCTCAGTGGTGTTTGGTCCAGTTTGGTCTTTTGGTGTCTTGGTGTTGGATTTCTCGGTCATGGGAAAACTTGAAGTCATTGATTCACCCTTGACATCAAGGTGGATCCACATTTTCCAAAGGCATCGCTTCATGATGCTGGTGTGTGCAGAGCTCAAGGAAAGCTCAGCAACAAGTCTACTACTGTCTACTATAGTTACTATGGCAGACCGGAATGCAATGCATGCAATCACTATCCGGGATTCTGCAAGCTCACCTGTGAGGGAGCGGCCTTCAGACATTTTGGAAGATGTTGAAGCACTTTCAAAGCGGAGCAATCAACCATGGCCTCATTGGTTGAAGGGTGATAGTCTGAAGAATAGTCTAAGACTTCTAGGAAATCTGACGGGATCTACACCGAAGAAAGTCATTCCAACAAATGGAATTTAATGGAAATTATATATGAGCAAGCGACAAAACCATTGTAATACTAATTCAGTGTTGCTACGCCTCGGCCTTGCCGAGGGGTGTGCAAAACCTTCATTACTGATAGGGGACGAACCTATACCGATACCCCTGTTTTGCATGAGCCGCCTCAAAGTCTGTGAAGGCAGAAATCCTCACTACCGAGGGCGGACGACCCTTTAATTCGCGCATGGCAGGAAAATAAACAAGTAATTTCGTCCTCCATTCATGTGTATATATATATATATGTATGTATATGATATGTATATAATATAATACAGATATACATGTTTTTGCGACGTGTTTTGTCATTTTTTGTATTTCCTTGAATGTTCTATTTTTGGTCGACCTGTGCATGTTGGCTACTCAGGCTTGGGACCAGAGCCAGGCAGCCGCTTCACTCAGAGTGGACATCGCTGCACATTCGAGTGGTTTGTTTTCTCAAAGTTTCCAGGCAAAAATCGACAGAGCCACTTAGAGTACTCGATTTTCTTTACTACTCTTTACTTTTGGGCAAGATTCTGTCCTGATTGTTGAACGTATTCTTTGAAGGGATTTCGATGCTTTTGCACAAAACTCACCACTTCATGGTTTGCTTGCGTTCTGGTAGATGGACTTGGACACACTTCTTTGGGCCTTTCTAGCCAGGACATTCTTACTCAACTCCTGTTTGTTTGGCCACCAGTACCTTCCACTTGTTTTACACACAGTGGCCTCTATCAAGATGGAAGATAGAGGAATGATATGGAATGATATCCTTGCAAAACGTGTGTCAGCAGTGTGTCTGTGTGTTTGCCACTTTGAGGCCTGGAGTTGCGCCCTTTGACTGAAGATGCTGGGACACATCGACTGCAGCTGAGGCAGACTATTGGCTGGGCTTTTAAAACCAAGATGAAATCCAAAGAGACGACACCTTAACCGAAGCCTTAACCATCCTTGACCAATAGTCACAGTTTAGGCGAGCATAAACTGGTTGGTTGCAATTGTTTTGCATCTCCATGATGTCTCTGTGCATCTAGGAGTGCAACAAGCAAAGGAATACGGATACCCAATTGGTGAGTCCAGTAGCCCAAGCGTATGATTTTCGTTGTTTCCTTTTCCGTTTTTGTTCAAAACAGCAACTGAACCATATCTTATGTGTCTTCGGGATTCTCTTTGGTTTTTACATGTTGCAACTTGCTGCAACTCTTACAGACTTGTTGAGACTTGTCAAGACTTGTTGCACGTCTAAAAAGCACGTCTTACTCGTCTTGCTCCGGCGATCCTGCAGACCTGGTGCATTTGTCCTGCTTCGTGCCGACTGTCTCACACATCGATTCAGCTCCAGGGGTGGGATGCCAAGGATTAAGGCACAGAATATGACATGATGAAATGATATAAAATGAATATGGAAGAAGCTCCATGGCCAGGATGTCAAGAAATGTCAAGAATTTCCTTTCCAGAATAGGAAGTGAGATAGCATCAAATGAAACAGCATATGAACAGAAACCGTTCTCACATCATTTTCTCCTCACCCGTGAGTCTTGGCCACCTGCGAAGCTCTAATGGTGTTTTGCGGAAAAATCCAGCAAGGATTTCTCTGCATAGCAAGATATGTTCTCAGTTTCTTTTTTCAAAACTAGGCACATGCAAGTTGAGAAGAATGTCTACAAGAACGGATATATTGCGATTCAGAAACTTTCCCCGATTCAGAAACTCCGATTCAGAAACTCCGATTCAGAAACTCCAAGGATTCAAGAAACTCCTGGTTGTCACGATTCAGAAACTCCAGGTTGCCCCGATTCAGAAACTCCAGGTTGCCCCGATTCAGAAACTCCAGTTGCCCCGATTCAGAAACTCCAGGTTGCCCCGATTCAGAAACTCCAGGTTGCCCCGATTCAGAAACTCCAGGTTGCCCCGATTCAGAAACTCCAGGTTGCCCCGATTCAGAAACTCCAGGGTGCCCCGATTCAGAAACTCCGGGTTGCCCCGATTCAGAAACTCCAGGTTGCCCCGATTCAGAAACTCCGGGTTGCCCCGATTCAGAAACTCCAGCGTGTCCCGATTCAGAAACTCCGGGTTGCCCCGATTCAGAAACTCCGGATCGACCCGATTCAGAAACTCCACGGTGCCCCGATTCAGAAACTCCGGGTTGCCCCGATTCAGAAACTCCGGGTTGCCCCGATTCAGAAACTCCAGCGTGTCCCGATTCAGAAACTCCGGGTTGCCCCGATTCAGAAACTCCGGATCGACCCGATTCAGAAACTCCAGGTTGCCCCGATTCAGAAACTCCACTCTCTCCCGATTCAGAAACTCCGGGCCGACCCGATTCAGCAACTCCACTCTCTCCCGATGCAGAAACTCTATACGTCTCCCAATTCAGAAACTCCATAGAGTTCTTGTCACGATTGCAAATCATCCTTTTCTAAACTTCCCCCCCAAAGCCCTACATGCAATGGTATTCCTGAATGCACATCCTTCCCTTTCATAGGGTTCTTTTCACGCTTGCAAGTCATTTTCTAAACTTCCCCCCCCAAAACCCTACATGCAATAGTAGTCCTGAATGCACATCCTTCCCTTTCATAGAGTTCTTGTCACGATTGCAAGTCCTTTCTTAAACTTCCCCCCCCAAAGCCCTACATGCAATGGTATTCCTGAATGCACACCCTTCCCTTTCATAGAGTTCTTTTCACGATTGCTAATCATTTTCCAAACTTCCTCCCCCAAAGCCCTACATGCAATGGTATTCCTCAATGCAAATCCCTCCCTTTCATAGAGTTCTTGTCACGATTGCAATTCCTTTCTTAAACTTCCCCCCCAAAGCCCTACATGCAATGGTATTCCTCAATGCAAATCCCTCCCTTCCATAGAGTTCTTGTCACGATTGCAAGTCATTTTCTAAACTTCCCCCCCCTAAAGCCCTACATGCAATGGTATTCCTGGATGCACACCCTTCCCTTTCATAGAGTTCTTGTCACGATTGCAAATCATTTTCTAAACTTCCCCCCCAAAACCCTACATGCAATATCAGTCCTCAATGCAAATCCCTCCCTTTGATAGAGTTCTTGTCACGATTGCAAGTCCTTTCTTAAACTTCCCCCCCCAAAGCCCTACATGCAATGGTATTCCTGAATGCACATCCTTCCCGTTCATAGAGTTCTTTTCACGATTGCAAGTCATTTTCTAAACTTCCCCCCCTAAAGCCCTACATGCAATAGTAGTCCTGAATGCAAATCCTTCCCTTTCAAAGAGTTCTTGTCACGATTGCAAGTCCTTTCTTAAACTTCCCCCCCAAAGCCCTACATGCAATGGTATTCCTGAATGCACATCCTTCCCTTTCATAGAGTTCTTTTCACGATTGCAAGTCATTTTCTAAACTTCCCCCCCCAAAACCCTACATGCAATAGTAGTCCTGACTGCAAATCCTTCCCTTTCAAAGAGTTCGTGTCACGATTGCAAGTCCTTTCTTAAACTTCCCCCCCCAAAGCCCTACATGCAATGGTATTCCTGAATGCACATCCTTCCCGTTCATAGAGTTTTTTTCACGATTGCAAGTCATTTTCTAAACTTCCCCCCCCAAAACCCTACATGCACTAGTAGTCCTGAATGCAAATCCTTCCCTTTCAAAGAGTTCTTGTCACGATTGCAATTCCTTTCTTAAACTTCCCCCCCAAAGCCCTACATGCAATGGTATTCCTGAATGCACACCCTTCCCTTTCATAGAGTTCTTTTCACGATTGCAAGTCATTTTCTAAACTTCCCCCCCAAAGCCGTACATGCAATGGTATTCCTCAATGCAAATCCCTCCCTTTGATGTATACTTAGTGATGCCATCCGAACGGTTGATCATCCAAGAATCCAATATATAATGATGCAGTTTGTCGGTGACAAAGTTTCCGAATCCGAGGGCCTGGAAGTTGCCGAATCCGACGTTGAAGTTTCCGAATCCGGGGGGAAAGGCAAGTTTCCGAATCCGAGCCCCTAGTATTTTCCGAATCCGACGTTGAAGTTTCCGAATCCGGGGGGATAGGCAAGTTTCCGAATCCGAGGGCCTGGAAGTTTCCGAATCCGACGCTGAAGTTTCCGAATCCGGGGGGATCGGCAAGTTTCCGAATCCGAGGGCCTGGGAGTTTCCGAATCCGAGGGCCTCGAAGTTTCCGAATCCGAGGGCCTAGGAGTTTCCGAATCCGAGGGCCTGGAAGTTTCCGAATCCGACGCTGAAGTTTCCGAATCCGAGGGACGGCAAGTTTCCGAATCCGAGGGCCTGGGAGTTTCCGAATCCGCCGCTGAAGTTTCCGAATCCGATGTTGGCCCTACGGATACTGTCACATCCAGTCCATTTGCAGGTATTTACTTTCAAGACAAACTTCTGAGCCATTGAAAGGCTTTGCATTCAGGAAAGCATTGGTATCTGCCTCCACTTCAACTTGACGTCTTTTGGACGACAGATTGGCATTAGGCTTTCCGTCTCTGACTCTATTGTGGCCGAGGGAAATGCTTCATGCTGACGAGCTTTCTCCTCGGGTGGCTTGCCCCAGAATGTCAGGCAGAACTGCAGGCAGAACTGCAGGCAGAACTGCAGGCAGAACTGCAGGCAGAACTGCAGGCAGAACTGCAGGCAGAACTATGTCACAAGCGCTCAGAAGAGGTGCATGTTGGTGCTATCTGGATAGAACGCTGCTATCTGGCTCTGTGGCTTCTAGGCCGACCTCGCTTCAACTGTTCCTAAGGCCCAACCCACAACGGAATGTCTTCGGCTCAGTGAAATGAAATACTTGCAAAAACCTTCTCCTATGGTCCTATGCGCTTTCGTGAAAATGGTAGAAAAGATTCCAACATTTTTCCTATGCCTTATTCTCTCTCTCTCTCTCTATCTCTCCTCTTTGTCAATGCTTCTTAGATCTCTTTAGTCACCCTTAGGGCCAGCTAGCTTTCATAACAACTGATAGCCATGATGGCACCTTCAAAATTCAAGCCTCGAAATGGTTCATGGCCAAGGCTCGATTGGCATCGCATCTACAGGATCAATTGGGGCGAAATCTCTTGACGATCAAGGAGAGACAATTGCATACAATGGCGACATCCAATTCAGCCTCTCTCTTGGAGGTACAACTCGGTACAACAAACCAAGCAAACCAAGCAAACCAAGCAACAGGTTCAGGAAGATCAGATGCTGAATCTCTTGAAACCAGGAAAATGTCTTTCAATGTGCAATGCCGGTAATCTGGACGCTGCAAGGGTCGGTGTTTACTGTCTGCGTGTTACTTGGGCTGTCACCTGTCAGCGGCAGGAAAATTCTAAAAGCGAAGAAGACTTCGAGAGCCAGACGAGCAGAGCGGTTGCGCACTCGGCTTCACTTCCAAACTGTTTGCATCGTGTGTTTCATCGTGCGTTTCATCCTGTGTTTGCATCGTGTGTTGCCATGTGTTTTTCCCCAAACAGTGTACTGTTAGGGATTCTTAATGCTTTCTTAAGGTGTCCGCCTTGGTGTTGGATGGTGTGTTCGCCTTCCCGAGGGTCTTGTCTCCCTTTGTCTCCAATTGTACCCCTTCTTGTTTCCCTTTGTTGGATGGTGTGTCCGCCTTCCCGAGGGTCTTGTCTCCCTAGTCTCCCATAAAAAAATGGGGAAACCGGGGTTCTGGGGAGTATATGTTCATTGTTCAGTTGTTATGTTTTTATGTTGGGGTTCAATGTTTTAATTTTATGGTTGCTGTTGATGTTTTTTGAGGGAGGGTTTCTGGGGATCATTTGATGCTAACTCTCATTTCATTGTTTGGTTTAAGATGAAGGGGAGAATTGTTCTTGCTGTTGTGTTTTTATTCAGGTTGAGTTGATGTTTCATAGATTGTTGATGTCTGCAGATAAGCATATGACCTAACCGCATGTTGAATTTCGAAACGTCGAAAAGTCGAAAAGTGCAAAGATTTGATTTTGAACTTCGAACGGTCGAAAAGTCGAAAAGTGGAAAGGTGACATTTTGAGTTTCGAAAAGTCGAAAAGTGCAAAGATTTAATTTTGAATTTTGAAAAGTAGAAAAGTGGAAAACTCGAAAAGTCGAAAAACGAAAAGTCGAAAAGTACGAAAAGTTCAGGTGACATTTTGAATTTCGAAAAGTCGAAAAGTGCAAAGATTTAATTTTGAACTTCGAACCGTCGAAAAGTCGAAAAGTGGAAAGGTGACATTTTGAGTTTCGAAAAGTCGAAAAGTCGATCAGTGCAAAGATTTCATTATGAAAATCGAAAAGTCGAAAGGGGTAGCTTGTCTCAGTTTGGATGGTCTATCCGCCTTCCCCCTTGTCTCCCATTGTGTCTCTTTCTGTTTCCTTTTGTTGGATGGTGTGTCCGCCTTCCCAATGCCTTGTCTCCCTTGTCTCCAGCTTGTCTCCCATCTTGTCTACCCTCTCGTCTCCCAGCTTGTCTTCCTTCTTGTTTTCCTTTGTTGGATGGCGTGTCCTTCTTCCCAAGGCCTTGTCTCCCTTGTTTCCCAGCTTGTCGCCCAGCTTGTGTCTCTTTTTGTTTCCCTTTGTGGCGAGTGGTCTCATTTTGAATTTTAGTTGATGCTTTGGAAATATTGAATGCACACTTCTAGCGTGAAGTCACTCGCTTGGAAGCTGTGGGCTCGGGGGTTGAGAATGATGTCATCTTTCACTTTCATCCTCCGATGTTTTCATTACATCCAATTTGACACTCCTATGCTGCTTGATTCGAGTGTTTGGATCCAAATACTCTTGCACCTCCCATCGGATGTTTCCTTCATCGTTTTTCGGCATCTAGCGTTGCGACAAAGCAAGCGAAAACAAACAAACTAAATGTGAAGTGGTTTCCGGCACTTATTGCAAATATTTTCACGATTCCTGTCGCTGCTACTTCCTCAAAACACTTCTTGAATCCACCCACTGTTTGGGGTCTACATCCACCCACTGTTTGGGGTCTACGATGGTGTAATCTTGAATGATGGTGTTGCATTGTGTGGCATTTTGGAAACTCTGGGTGCCTTGGGGCTACTCCAAAAGACTCCAAAGTCAAGATCCAAGCTTTCAGATGCTTTCAGCCTGTGAGCTGTCTGCTATCGTATGGGTTGAGGCATGCTTTGTCCAGCATAAGTGGCGTAAGTCCTGTGCAAATTGATCAACGAGTTTGGACCGCTTTGATATGCTGAGATTCAACGGATTGCCAACCAGTGTGGGACCTAGCTTTTAATCGCTGGCAACCAACTGTCATCACGGTATTGCAAACTGTTTTCTTATCTGTTTGTAGACCTGATTTTTTTAATGACGATCATCGAATCATATCAAATTGTATTCCTGTAATTTCCTGTACTCATGGGCAAGGGTTACATTGTGGTTAGACACACTCATGTTGCACCTCCCATATTTCAACTTGTCTGAGCAAGTGTGTGGCATCTATTCAGACTCACGCTGTGCTACCTCATGCTCATGTCACAAAATGCACTGGAGTTGTTGTGCCCCTCATTCGTTGATTCACTGCGCAACTTGTGGTCAGGGTGCATGTAATGTACTGTATATGTACTGTATATGTACTATATCCACTCTAGTTCATCCCATCCAAGCCGATTTTGTGGCGGTGAGACTCGCTCTCCTTCGTAATTGTGCAATTGCAGGATGGGTTCACTATCAGAACATTATTTGAGTTTGTTAGTGCCCTGTCAGTTAATTACTGCTTATTGAATGCCCGTGAAAAATGAATTCAAAATTTCAATACGAAAGTAATACGAAAGTGATAGGAAAGGGCTGCAATATGTTACGAAAGTATTGCAATCATTCTTGGGCATGTTCGCCTCAGGAACCTCCACAAGGGCCAGCAGACAGCAGTGCGGGGCTGCGCGGCCAGGCACGCCATTTTTTGTTTCTTCCATTTCTTGGAGTTATTATTATCGATTTTTTTTGCATTGCTCATCATTGCTCCTTTGACATGATATGAACCACTCGTTTCTGAACTTGTCCTGATGTTGTCCTGATGTCGTGGGTCTTGTCGTGACCAGTGTGGCTTGTTTGTCACTGAATCTTGTCAGGGAACCAGTAGCAGCACATGATCCCGACGCGTTTTGCTCCGGGATTATGGCAGGCACTGAATCAGTTCCGATGGAAGAGTGTGTTGTCAACTGGGATTCAAGATGATTCAAGTATGTTCCAGCCATTTTGAAGATTTTTGAAGTATGTTCAGTTTTTCAATTCCCACACTCTTGTCTTTCACAAAGGCATTGATGGAGCGCAGATCATTCCACATCTACGCAACGAGCTGAAGTACTCACAGTATTCACAGGATTGACTCCAGATGCTTTTGGTAGGAAGAGGGAAAACTTCTGCCTCTTGTGCCGTCGGGACTAAGGATGGGACCATGAGCAATACTTCGTGCCTGATCCGTCCAGGGACTCTCCAGCTGGTTTGCACTCGCGTGCATGAACATATTCACTGACAATATTCTGAATTATTCTGATACAGCAATCTTCTGATAATCTTCTGGTCTTTGAAGATCTTTTAACCCAAGACAATGTCAAGACCCCTTCCGGATTGATTGAGCTCCCAACAGCTGTTGCTGTTGCAGTCTCGAGTAGCAATTTGGCAGGATCCAGCAGGTAACTGGAAGACGCACTGCAACCATGGCTGCTTCATCGAGGGGTTGGAACTTTTTGACAACAAAATGTTCAAGCGCATTGGCTGCAGGGAGACTTTCGCGCGTTTCTGTAGAGGGAAGCGTAACTGCAAAGGCTGCAAAGGATGATGGCGCAATGCTGTTGCATGGGTCTGATGACCAAGATAACTAAGAGCGTCGGCCCTGAGCCGTGACATGCCGTGAACATTTAGTGATTCATATCATATTTTCATTTTTTTTTCCGTATCTTTTCATATGAACATTTTTGGCCAAGGATCAGCCCAATGGAGGCGACGGGCATGGACCCGAATCAGCGGCAAGCCTTAGAGGCGTCCACTGACAGGGTCAGCTGACGGTCAGCTGACGGTCAGCTGGATTCAGCGCACCTTTCATGATTTGAAAAGTTCGTTCAAGTTTCTTCAACTTGAAAAGCCCCTCTGATTTGAAGTCATTGAACTTCTTGAGACATCTTCAGTCATCTTTTCATCACATTGCTTGGGACCTTTCTAACAGCTTGATCTTCCTTGACAGAGAATGAAGAGCTCCAGCAGAACCCATGCTCACAATAGGGGAAACTCGGGAAGTTGCCCAGACGCTTTCAGATCTTTCAGGTCTTCTACGAAACAACGATGAGTGCTGGCCTTGATGAGAAGAAACTCATGAGGCTGGGCTGTTTTGTTGCCTGGACATACGTGGACTTGCTTCACAACGTTCCAGAAATGATCTCCTGCAATGGCTTCATGATTCTCAGCATGCAGCATTATCTAATCCATGACCGTCCATGACTAAAGAGTTGTTTTAAAACTTGCAAGACTGTGGAAAGATTGTGTTATGGCAGTTTCCAAGTACCTGTTTGGAGAAGCCACTGCCCAAATTTGTTCTCATGCACATCTGTTTTGACTTGCCTTGCCGACCTCTGAACTCTCCTTGAAGGTCCAACATCGGTGTTTTCATGGGTGGTCCTGGTGGCTTTTCAGAATATAGCCAAGTGCCCAAGGACTTCATTTCTTCCCTGTGCAGGGAATGGATAGCACTGTTCGGCATGGCCAAACACAGACCTGAAGACGCAAGGCTACTTTTCAAATCTTTTCAAATCATCCAAGCTGTTTCAAGTCTGACTAGTCTCCACTGTCTCCACTGTCTCCACACTGCTGGTTTTGTCTTCGTTGGCCACTGCCCGAAGGACGAGGTTGGTGGTGCTTTGGGTTCCACCAGTGGTTCTGCAGCTATCATGGCCAATCGGATCTCCTTTTGCATGGGTTCACCGCTTAGATCAGGGCGCCGCATCAGAGATGTTCCAGTGATAGATTTGACTGAATTTTGTACTTGGTCATAGGATACAAACCTGGAAATGCATGGTTAGAAGTGAGAGGCTTGACGGGTTGACTCTCTCTCGCTCTTTCTTGTTTTGACTGAATGTCTTTTACCGTATACCAGAAAAGCCTGAATCTGCATTGAGCCAAGGAATTCATGGTCCGAACTTTTTCATAGACATTGAAGGTGCCTGGCAGGAAACATGTGGGCTTCCATGTTCTAGTGGTGACTTTTTCTCTGTATACAAGCCCACAAAGCCAAGCTCCTGGGAGGCTTGCGATTGATCTCTTTTACAACTGATAGAAGAAAGCCCTTATGGCAGCACAAAAAAGTAAAGCAAGACGCCTCGGCTTTGACCGCAGGTGCAGCATCCCTGACAGCCTTCAACTTGGCGGTTGATTCTGTCCAACGTGACAAGGTCCTCAGGGTAGTGTCATGTTTGTCTAGGATGTTCACGAATGGAGAACTGAAGATGAGCGGACATGGACTCCAGCAGAAGTTCATAGACGTAGAGAAGGGAACTTTCTTTTAGCGGTGGATTTCTACTCAATTGTGGAAGAAGCAGAAGAAGAAGAAGAACAAGCAGAAGGAGAAGGAGAAGGAGAAGGAGAAGGAGAAGGAGAAGGAGAAGGAGAAGGAGAAGGAGAAGGAGAAGGAGAAGGAGAAGAAGAAGAAGAAGAAGAAGAGAAGGAGCAGGAGCAGGAGCAGGAGAAGAGGAAGAAGGAAGGACAAGCAGAAGGAGAAGCAGAAGGAGAAGGAGGAAGAAGAGGAAGAACGAACGAGGAAGAACGAACGAGGAAGAGGACGAGGAGAAGAAAGGAAGAGGAAGAGGAGTAGGAAGAGAAAGAGGAAGAGAAAGAGGAAGCGGAACAGAAAGAGGAAGAGAAAGAGGGAGAGGGAGGCGGAGAGGGAGAGAAAGAGGAAGACGCAGATGAAGAAACTAAATCAAGTAAAGAAAGAAAGAAACCCGATAAGAAGAACATGTGTAATTATTGAGAAATGAAACCAAGAGATAATAATTGCTTTAGATCCAGCAAGACCTGTCCAAAGCCTGGATTGAGACAGAATTGAAAAAAGAACAGAATGCCATCTTGTGCTTTCTCGCATTTTGTTTCAAGCCGTGTCAGTCCAGTTGGTTGGCCTTTCCATAGACCGCTGAGTGTTGGAAACAAGCAGGCACAGTGTATTGCAGCTGTCGCCCTTGGAGTCGACTGCAACGTCCACCCGCAAGGGCTGTTGACCCTTGGAGCACTGAAGATCCCTGAACTTGGTACTCACACCTTGTACTCACACCCCACTTCAAGGGTTTCATGGAAAGCAAGTGCCTGGCTTTGGCATTTTCCACATACACCGAGGACCCTGGGCTGGGCTGGATTGCTATCGAAGAAGGGCCGGTGCTTGAGCTTCGACAGCTATGCAGATGGCTACATCCGAGGACAGCAGCAGTGATGGGAACCTTTGGGCAGGTCGTTTTTGATACCGCAACAGACAACCCAAGGCAGCACCCTTCGCTGGACTTCCTGACTGCTTGGAATCATTGCTAGTAGCGATGACCAGTGGGTTCGAAAACCTCGCCGCAGGAGAAGGATATACTGGGCTCTATGTCAACCCCTTGATGAAAGAGCACGAGGGCAAGAAGATCATTGACGAGGTGACTCAGCGTTGAGCAGCAACTCCGCCAGTTGTGTTCGCCAACCTAAGTGGGACGCGGGGATGTATTGAATATCATTCAGTGATCTATAGTCTGTATAGCTTAGCTTGTTTCAAACAACTTGGGCAACGGCTGTTTGGGTTGAGGATTCCTCGCATGACTCCTGTGTGTTGCAGGAGCCCGCGATCATTGCGTTGGCCAGTGGGACTTTTATCAACAACAATGGCAGCGCAGCGTCTCTAACAGCGCCAAGCGGGGCCATGTACCAGGAGCCTCCATTGTCTTCGGTGGGAAAGACCCTCAATCCGCAACAATTTGCCAAAAATACTCTTGAAAAAGGTACCTCAAAGAGGCATTTTCAAAACGTACACACTTCGGAAATTGAATTCTAAGTGTCAAGTCTTGAAACGAGCACACGTTGTCACATTCTCCATCCTCTCATGGTCCGGGCAGGAGCTTGTGGCTAATTGCGTTCGCAGCGCAGATATTTCTCCCTTGGACGTTGATGCTGTGGAGTCCGGAGGCTCAGGACCATGCGACGCTTCCAGGGCTGTTGGGAAGAAATGACATGAAACAGATGAAACATGTCTAAAATCATTCTATCAATTATCTATCAATTTTATCAATGCGCGGTTTTTGTCCTGTTCAGATGTCTTCTAAGCTGGGGGCACTTTATGCAGCCAGCACTGTGTTTGAACCTCCTGTTACCAGGTAGTTGAAGGGAGTTGGACATATTTCAACTTTGTTTCCAAGTGATTGCAATTGAAGTGGTAACAGGGGTGTCTGCATTGTTCCTACACATCCCAGCTTCAAACTTAGGTGCCAGGCTGCAGGAAACATCCTCAACGATGCAGTGGAGGAGAATAGCTTGGGGTCTGAAACGAGAGAAGCCCCGAAATTAAACGAAATGACATCAAATGAAAATTGCATATTTTTCCCCAACAGCGTAAGCTAATGGGGTCTTCAGCCCAGAATAGCTCCGGTGTGCACTGGTGCAGAGCCAGGTCAGGTTCAACAGGGTTTCGAAGAAGGTTCCGGAGAAGCTTCTGGGAGGCTTTGGTGCAGAGCCAGGTCAGGTTCAACAGGGTTCCGGAGAAGGTTCCGGAGAAGCTTCTGGGAGGCTTTGGTGCAGAGCCAGGTCAGGTTCAACAGGGTTTCGAAGAAGGTTCCGGAGAAGCTTCTGGGAGGCTTTGGTGCAGAGCCAGGTCAGGTTCAACAGGGTTTCGAAGAAGGTTCCGGAGAAGCTTCTGGGAGGCTTTGGTGCAGAGCCAGGTCAGGTTCAACAGGGTTCCGGAGAAGGTTCCGGAGAAGCTTCTGGGAGGCTTTGGCGCAGAGCCAGGTCAGGTTCAACAGGGTTCCGGAGAAGGTTCCGGAGAAGGTCTAGGAGGCTTTGGTGCAGAGCCAGGTCAGGTTCAACAGGGTTCCGGAGAAGGTTCCGGAGAAGCTTCTGGGAGGCTTTGGTGCAGAGCCAGGTCAGGTTCAACAGGGTTTCGAAGAAGGTTCCGGAGAAGCTTCTGGGAGGCTTTGGTGCAGAGCCAGGTCAGGTTCAACAGGGTTCCGGAGAAGGTTCCGGAGAAGCTTCTGGGAGGCTTTGGTGCAGAGCCAGGTCAGGTTCAACAGGGTTCCGGAGAAGGTTCCGGAGAAGGTCTAGGAGGCTTTGGTGCAGAGCCAGGTCAGGTTCAACAGGGTTCCGGAGAAGGTTCCGGAGAAGCTTCTGGGAGGCTTTGGTGCAGAGCCAGGTCAGGTTCAACAGGGTTCCGGAGAAGGTTCCGGAGAAGGTCTAGGAGGCTTTGGTGCAGAGCCAGGTCAGGTTCAACAGGGAAGGTCTGGGAGGCTTTGGTGGAAAGTGAGGTCAGGTTCAACAGGGCTCCGAAGAAGGTTCCGGAGAAGTTTCTGGGAGGCTTAGGCTTTGGTGCAGAGCCAGGTCAGGTTCAACAGGGTTCTGGAGAAGGTTCCGGAAAAGGTTCCGGGAGGCTTTGGTGCAGAGCCAGGTCAGGTTCAACAGGGTTTCGGAGAAGGTTCCAGAGAAGGTCTGGGAGGCTTTGGTGCAGAGCCGGGTCAGGTTCAACGGTTGCGGCAATTTGACTCACGGAAACCAACCTGAGGTGTTTCCAGCGCTTGGCCTCGCAACACGCTTCAACAAGAAAACGTTGCGGCTGATGGGAATACCACCGAAACTTATTAATTCCGATTAATTCCTTTAAAAAAACCCAGACATTTGTGACCAAGTGCGAATCTTGCGAACTGCGCTGTTCCTTGGCCAGGCGACAGCGCTGACACGCGCCTACAGGTCCTTGGCGATGAACCAGGCAGTTGCTGGGCCGCTCCATGGAGTTCCTGATTTCAGCGCCTCTTACTTCATTACTCTGAACTTTGAGGTAATTATATGATATTCATATTATATGTAACTTAACATGTACTACTTAACTATTACTTAAATTTATAAGTACCAGATCAGTCTAGTGGGTGACGACAGCCCTTCAGTTGACGATGCTTCTCTGAAGCGAATCGCGTGAGGATGCCGAGGAAGAGATGCTGGGTCTCATGGCCGCAAAGACGAACGTTGGCACCGTGGCAGCAAACGGCACAGGTTGGGGTTTGCCAGGCTCAAGGGCATTACAGGCACTACATGTGGAGGGAAACTTTGTTGCAATCATTGCAATCATTTCCCAGCCGTGCCATCCATTGGTCTATCCGAGTCTATCCGCTATTTGTCACTTGAGTCAGTTGAGACTTCTAGCTTTGGCAGGTGAATGCATAGTTGCAGAACAGATCCGATCCATACTGAGAGCCGCAAACATGAGTGTTTGAAGTTTCTGCATTAGTTCCAGAAGATTGTTCTTTGTGGGGCCACCATAAGCCACCCAGGCAACATGCGCCCTGCAATGGGTTGTGCAGCACTCCTCCGGGTGATTGTTGGGCAGGTTTGCTTGGGAAAGCTGGAGTTTGATATTTTTGAAAGGTGGAGTGCAACTGAGTTCAACTGAATGCACCGCAGGCCATGGGTTGCATGCCTCCTTCTCTTCACATGCACAAGATGAACCCGCACGTAGTCGCGGCAGCTTGGAGCTCAGGGAGCTCAGGGAGCTCAGGGAGCTCAGATGCACCGGCTTTGGAAAATGAAGACTTTTTTAATGCGAAGACGCGAGACGATCATCACAATCATGCCAAATAAATTTGAAATGGTTTCAGAGCAGCAAGTCTTTCACAAAAGCCCCAAGATTGCGTGGATATTTTGAACACATCCCAAGAAGTGTCTTTGAGAAGTGTCTTGGTGTGCTGTCTTTGGTGTCTTCTGCTCTCTTCTGCTCGCTTCCCGTCCTTGTCCGCAAGCTCTGCAAGCTTCTCAGGATGATGTGCCGAGCTTTTTTGTGACAGAGCCAGTGCCAGGGTCACAGAGTCACGGAGGGATCTTCAGTGTTTTGAAGTAGTGTTCAGCGTTCAGTAGCAGGCCCCCATGAGTTGTTTAAATAATATAAATATAATATATATATATATATATATTACTATTTACCATGTCTTTACTTTTTTAAATCCCTCTCTCTCTCTCTATGTCAATGCTGCTGTATTCAAACATTTTCATTCATGCAGATACAAGGAGCCGAAGAGAACCAACTGAGCATAAACACTTCTTCAAATCAAATGCAGTCTCATTTGCAAGTTGTTTGGCAAGAGGGGGCATGACAGCATGCAACCCGAGGCATCACCGAATGGTCTCAGCCTTCGTGGCTTGCACTGCAAGCGGAATTGGTGGCTCAAATGCGCGCCCTGTCTGTTTGCACACCTTCTCTCGTTTCGATCTAGTCGTGAAAGTTCTATCAAAATTCTGTCAAAGTTCTATCTCCGCAATCTGACCGCGATGTCCTCGCATTGTAGCACGGCTTTGAACCAAAGAATGATTACCAAGACTGTCAACTTCACTGTCTGGACGTCAGTGCATGTGGTGCGCTGTGCCACATATCATGGCACCTCCATGCCGGAGCATATCACAAAGCCATTTCAATTGGAACCGGGTTTAACAGTTTGTTTCGGATGTACCATGAACCACACCTGCGCAAGATTTGCCAGGCCCATACAATCCTTTGGGGCAAAGCATGCATCAGGCGTTCTCCGTCAAAACAGATGTCAACAGCCGCTGAAGCAGCTGAGAAATGGACTTGTTTGCGTTTATGTTTTTCATGTTTTCCCTTCCTAGCGGTGAAACGTCACCTCAGAGCCCCAAGAAGAAAGGGTTTGAGTCGGTTTGAGTCTGGAAGTTTGGATCCTGGCAAAGAGACGGGATTCGGATAAGTCGGAAAAGCCAAGCTACAAATGCGTCGGATTGCTGCTGCTCTTGCTCCAATCAAACACCGGCAAGCAGCCATGCAAACCATCCAAGTCGTTTGTCAAAACAATCAACAAATGTCAACAACAAGTTTACAACATTTTACAACAGGGTTTGTGAAGCAGCTGGAAAGCCGTCCGCAGGCAGAATAAGATGGAGAAGCCGGTGCAGGCTGAGGCGCAGGGATTTTCGTGATGCAAGCAGCCCCACGTTTCTCCTGTCTTGAAGCAACGATTTGCGCACATTAGTCATATACTATATTATATGTGACTCTATTATATGAATCCTTTGTGAGTCATATGCATATCTACATATCATTTTATCAGAGTCTGAGCTAGTAGTGCTAGTAGTTGATAGATGTCGATAGCACCTCTCCATATTCAGTGAACCTAAGCTTTTTCAAATTTGCTGAGAGGAACTTCCAAAATGGCAGGACGTTTTGACCTTTTGGCCTGGTGGCGGTGGTGATCTTGATCCTCTGTGCGAGCCGCGAAGAGGTGCCTTTCCTGGTGGAAATATGCGAGATTTTGAAGAATCATAGGCGAACACCGTGAATTCATTGATGAATAAATTTTCAATATCCATGCAGCGAATAGCGCTTGAATAGAGAGGAATCTGAGGAATGGCTCGATAGTGGATGAGAAAGACTCAGGGACTTGACATCAAAGCAGGGGATGACCGCTGAGTCCCAAAACTGCGACAAGTCACGCACTTGTGTCGACATCGAACCTAGGAGTAGGCATCTACCTATCCTTCTATTTGGCTATCTGATCTAGCGCTATGTTTGTATACATTTTTATGTATAATATATATATATATATATATTCATTATAAATGTATAATGCATATTCATATTCATATACAATATACATAGGTGTATATATCTAATATCTATGCACATCAATGCTGTATATATATATATTATTACACTAACATATAATGATGTTCAGTATGAATGGCGATCCATATTTTCGTGGTCTTGCCTCGAAATCAGCACAAGGCTGCAGTATCGTGGGTTCTTGGGCGCTCATGGACTCGCCTCAGCAGATGCGAAACGAAGGTCTTGACCAGCAGGAGCCTCAGATTAGCCTCAGATCTCTGGTCGACTCGAGGAGTGTCAGAGTGGATTTCGCAACGTGGCGCGAAGCCGCGAAGCCGAGAAGCCTTTTCGAAGTCTTTTCGACCTCACTTTGTTTTAGACTGTGGGACCGGGAAGGAGTGACAGGTCTGCTAACAAAAGTGTTTCTGCAGTCTTTTCTGATCTCTCTTCTTGTCCATTCAAATCTGTGCTGAGGTTTAGCTTCACCGTCACACTAGGAGAACATGGATTTGAGTGGTTCCAGATTTGGCTCGACGGTTGCTTGGCCACAATACTGGATCGCTAAATGCCTTTGGATTATAGAAATTTGCTCGCTGATTAGATCCAACACCGAAAAGTCATAGTCCCTTCATATCATATGGACATCCTTCTTTCAATTTGGTTGAGCTGTTTCTATCTCTTGCTGGGGCTTTGCGCTTTTGAGGCGAGCGAGAACGCATCCTTCATCCGGGTGCTGTAAAAGGTCAAAGTACTGCCAAAGTGCAGGGGCCGCATCACTACTGCCAGGCCTCAGCATGCGCCGGCAGGTCTTTCCTACAGGAAGCTCAAAAAATCTACACAGGGGTTCAAAGATGTTCAAAGCATTTGAACATATTAATTAGCACTTTCTGAGATTTTAATTGCTCCTTATCCGTCAAGCCTCTGCGTAAGCGTCTTTGTGCTCCTTAACGTTGCTACAGTTTGCTGCAAAAAAAAAGGTTGGAAAACTAATACCAGAACGAATGCCATTTGGAGACAAAGTCCAAAGGGAAGAGGACTTGAAGAGGACCTTTGGTATTTCACAGAGCTCAACTTCGCCATAGTGTCCCGAATCCACTCATGGCATCTCTGGGCGGGGTGAGAGCCACTTGAAGGTGGCCACCTTCGGATGGTGCATCGACACTAGACCAGGCACGGAAACCAAAGACCGAAGGAAACCGGGTGCTGTACAATTTGTCGCATAGCTGTGTATCAGCTTCCTGGAACTAACAACAGGTTCTGTGGTCGCAAAGTTAACCAAGATGACCGGCTTGAAGATCTAATCACTCCACGTTGCAGCTACTCTCATTTGCCTCATCATTTGCCTCATCATATCAAAAGATGCTTCTCTCTTTGCGTCAAGTCCCCAGGACAGAGCGAGGATCCAAGGCACGATGGCCATGCATGGCCGTGCCACGTTGCTACTGAGCCCTTTTTTTGCCATTTTGTTCAACATTTCATGAGTAGGGATGAGTTGGAGCAGCAGTCAGTAGTCGTATAATATGTTGTAGCAGTTGCAACATTCTGTTGTTGTGCAGCCTGTGCAGCCTGTGCAGCCTTTGCATTCTTCTCTTTAGTTCGGAGACCCTGCAGTGCAGAACAAGATAAAGAAAACTGTTTTGCATTCTATGTGGACTGCAGTTCAGTACAGGCAGTATCCGGAAGAGGGCATGCCTGGCGATGAGTTCAAGGCCTTCTTCAAATGGAACAGGGTTCAGCTGTGTGGTGGAACTGGAAGCAAGCTTCTTTGCGTTTCATTTGAGAATTCATCAGAATTTGCGTTTGCAAACTACAATGACCAAGGGTGGGAAGGAAGAAAGTGACATCACCTGGCACGGCACCACTGCAGGTGCAGCTTCTGACCAAAGGTCGGTTCAGATCTGTCACCTGGGAGAGGCCAGGGGAAACCAGCTTGGCCATGGCTGGCCCGACTTTTTTTTGAGAATGTTTGATCCTTCCTGAAGTGTCCAAGTGAGCGTTCAATCCGGAACACGCAGAAGATGATTCACGCTTGTTCTGATGATTGCTGCGCATCCTTCATATTCCTTCTTTGTCGAGGGCTGCCGCCCTACTGTTTTCAGAAGTCCTAATGACCCCTGATCTGCCCTTGCCTGCAGGCTTGGTTCGCAGAATGTGCAGCGAAATGGATTGCCAAAGACCATGGGTTGGCGCTCCCAGGGGACTTGCATGAAAGATCATGAAAGCATGGAGGATTCATGGAGACATTTGCGTGTTTCCATGACTGGACTCACAACGGCAGTGAAATCATCCAAACATTGTCTCTGAATTGTCTCTCTATTCAAATCTGTTGACAACGCGGTGCAGATGCTGCTGCATCCACGGCTTCGGGGGAACTTGTTGGATCCCAGGTCGCTACTTCATAGTCGGCAGCTGGAATGTCACATCCTCAAACATCATGTGGGACCCCATGAAAGGGATCAAGGATCCTCAGAGCATGTCTTCATCCCTGCCTCGACAAAATGGGGTCTGCTATTTGATTCCAGAACCTGTGTGGTCACATCCGGCATAAGTCACTTGGCTCTGGAAAAGTCCACTCCCTGTTGAGGATTGGCAGCCTGAAGAGATGAATCTCGATGATGAAGCGATTGGTCGCTTTTCGATCAAGGCTTGGCTCTCAACACTTTCTGACAAGAAGTCCGAATCTTTCTATTTTGCTTACCCATCTCCACCGCCTGTTGTGGATACTTTGAATATCATACTCTGACGTTAGCTAGATTCTAGGACCATCTATGTTTGTGCTGAGCAACATTCTTTCTAATCAAAGTCTTGCATCTACCAGGATGCTCTCTAAGTGGAAAGTTGCTCGACATGGGACATTCTTTGCCTCTAAGCATAAATGCAAGTGCCTGATCAAGACGTTTCAGCGTTCCGTAAGGCAGCCATGTCCACGGGCAAGCAGCGCTTCCAGATACTTCGGAACCGAGACTGGCGCCAGATTGTCTGGATCTCAGCAATGCAGGGTTGTGATCGCAACTTCAAAAAGTGCCTTGGAGCGGGAGAACAAGGAAGCACCCAAAAAGGCAAACATGTCAACGCACAGGAAAAACGTTTGCCACAAAGGTCAAACAAGTCAGTGGTTTCTACTTTCGTACATAGTTCAATGGGCTGAGCAATACGGAGGCCGATATAACCTAGTGAAATGTGGAAGTGGAACAGGATCCACCCATGGCAAGTCACTAGGTTGTCAGAGAACCTCAGTGTGGTACTTTATCGATCTCTATTATGTCATCGTCTGATTGCATTGTTATTGGTAAATGTTCACTGTTCACTGCGCTGCCAGATCTACCCTGACCCTGGCTCTGGTGACGACCAAGATGCGACCGTGAAGGCCTTGAAATGAATCTTCAAGTCTATTGGGATATATTGGGATAGCAGGATAGCAGAATGCTTCTAAGGGGCCAGGGGGTCGAACATGGTGGGCCATCAGCTGATGATGGGATACGAAGAGTAAGAGAAATGCAGAGAAGTCGCGAGCTCACTTCCAAGTGTACCGTTATAAGATCACCAACCCAGGTGGGCTGACCATCTCATTTGTAGTAACTATGGCTTCTTTCCGCCATGGCACAAACCTAGCTGACTTATGTCTATCCTGCACCACTTCATTGAACCAGTCAACATTTCTGACAAGACTCTGCTCAGGGACCTGATGGTACTGGACATGCTAGTCGCTTGGGCCGCACTTGGCCATGCTGCACACAGATCCGGTGGCACATGCCACAACTGGAGAAACCGTGGAAATGGACGGTTCAGCCTGTTATAGATGCCCGTTTGGATGGGTGCTTGCAGGTTGCTGGAGCATAGAGGCCACTCGAGTCTTGAGATTACATGTGCGATGTCAATCGGCTTCAGTTGACAGCACAGGTTTAAATATGTGTTCAAATTTTTCAAATATGTTTTCAACTGGTTGCAGTAGCCTGGGAGGTGCAACCCTCGCGAAATGTGATTATGATTGACCTGGAGCTTTGGGAGGAGGAGCTCAGAGAGTCGAGCAGATTCGCAGCGAAAGCGATGAAAGCGATAGGAAATTCATAGCGGAAATCCGGAAATGAATTCATATGGCAGACATTATGTTTCAACTATTTCAACTTCGGTCAGTTGAAGATCTGTGACGTTTCATACAAATTGGTGGATCCTATCTGCGTTGAATACCAGGATCAGAGTTTCTCTGACGATCGGAAAAGCCGGAGTGCAGTCAGCAAGATGAAGGTACCACAAGCTCAGTAGAGAGAGAGAGAGAGAGAGGAGGAGCATGGAAAGACACACAAATGGCAAGTCAATCTGTTTGTGATAGCAAGAAAAGCTTCCGCAGATTTTGACCTTCGTTGCGGTACCTTTGCAGGAAATTGCATACAGAAAGTAACCTAAGGATCGACAAGGGCCAAAAGTTGGGAGGTCTTTGGATGTTTGTCAGTGTTCCGTAACCAGGTTTCCTGGCGCAGCATCAGGAAGCAAGAGCTCTCGGAGCAGGCAAGGGTGTAAGCTGGTGTAAGCATATGCTCCCAATTAATGCACTGGATTTCAACACATATCGACACGAAACATATCCTTTCTCTAGCCGGAAGCACCTCATTTCTGAACGCTGAAACCAGCTCATTTTAGAACGCGGAAACAAGCTCGTTTCGGACGCCTGTTTGGCATGGTTTTTCCAAGGTTTTCAACTTTCCTGGTTCCCTTCTCGTTTTCCTGGTTTCCTCGTTTCCTGGTTTCCTTTCCCCGGTTTTCCTGGTCTCCTTTTTGTTTCATCCCGTATCTTTTTCTGAGGTTATTTAAAAGGCTCACGCCTGACAGCCGGGCGCCGGCCAAGCAACGACGTGTGGCTGATAGTGTGGGAAGATTGGGCCGAGATTCTCCGCGCAAACCCAGGGAGGGCTATGTTGAACTGAGGCAGGCAGAATGCGCAGTGCTTGCCTGTATGGAATCTGGGCCTATGTTGAACGCAGGTTGTGCCCATGTTGGGCCAAGTCGGGCCCATGTTGAGCCATCGGGCCCATCGGGCCTATATTGGCCCATGTTGGGCGGCCCAGGTTGGGCCTATGTTGGGCTATGTTGGGCTTATCTTGGGCCCATGTTGGGCCTATGTTGGGCCTATGTTGGCTTATGTTGGGCCTATGTTGGCCCATGTTGAGCCATCTTGGGAGCTCTGTTGGGGCCATGTTTGGGCCATCTATGTTGAAACAATCTTAAGATGCCAATTTTTCCGCCCCGGGCCCCCTCCTGGCGCCCAAAGCCATGTAAAAACCGATGTTTTTTAACATCGCCAAGATGAAATCCCTTGCCGCCGAAGGGCCCGAAACACCGTAAAAAAACAATGTTTTTTTTGACACCGCAAGCAAAATACACCGTAAATTGCAGGTGCTTCAGTGGTTCGGGAGTAAACCCGGGGTGAACACGGGGTGGGCCGGCGGCAGGGGGGGCAGCGCCTATAACCTTCGGTTACTACCGACGGCCTCCCGAATTTGAAGGCTTATGCCTGACAGCCGGGCGCCGGCCAAGCAACGACGTGTGGCTGATAGTGTGGGAAGATTGGGCCGAGATTCTCCGCGCAAACCCAGGGAGGGCTATGTTGAACTGAGGCAGGCAGAATGCGCAGTGCTTGCCTGTATGGAATCTGGGCCTATGTTGAACGCAGGTTGTGCCCATGTTGGGCCAAGTCGGGCCCATGTTGAGCCATCTTGGGCCCATCTTGGGCTTATGTTGGGCCAAGTCGGGCCATTTTGGGCCGATATTTTGGGCCTATGTTGGCCTGGCCCATGTTGAGCCCTCTTGGGACCTATGTTGGGGCCATGTTTGGGCCATCTATGTTGAAACGATCTTAAGATGCCAATTTTTGCGCCCCAGGCCCCCTTCCTGGACCGCCAAGATGAAATTCCTTCCGCCGAAGGGCCCAAGCAAAACCAAGATGCCAAAAAACGCGCTCCTACCACACCAGAACACCGTGCCAGGAGGTGCCCGAAGGCCCCGAACCATGGACACGGCCGGTGCCTAACGTTGCTTTCTGCTTTGAAGAAAGGTCCAGAACGGCATCCCCAAGGTTCAATGGACCCGGCTGGCGTTTAACGGTGCTTTCTGATTGGACGAAAACAACGTCAAAATAGTCGCTTCCTGATTCGAAAAAAAAGAAAGTCAAAAAATAGCACGATCCATGAGCACGATTCCTTTCTCGCACTCACCCCCCAGGGGTCGGCGGATTTCCTGTTTTTATTCTTTCCTGGTTATCTGGTTTCCCGGTTTCCTGGTCTCATGGTTTCCTGGGGTTTGCTTGTTTGCTAGTTTTCTGGTCTCCTAATTTTTTGTTGATCTCTTAGTCCGTTTCCTAGGTTCCAGTTTCCTGGTCATGTCATTTCCTGGTTATTTAGTTTCCTGGTTTCCTGGTCTCCTGGTTTCCTGGTTTCCCCGGGTTCTAGTTTCCGGGTGTCGTAGTTTCCTGGTTTCCTGGTTTCTGATTTTGCAGTGTCAGTCTTGGCTTCCTTTTTGTTCCCCAAACAGTGTGTCCACACTGGGGTGTTCTTACGGTAGGTGTAAAGGCCGGTGCTTGATCAGGGTGCTCACTCTGGGCGCCGGCATTTTTCCTGTAAATTTCTGCAAAAGCGGCTCTTGTGAAATGTTGACATGCATGTCGAAGGCGCAGGCTCGCGCAAAGTGTGTGTCCACGTTCTGGGCTGACTCTGGCGCGCGGCATTTTTCCTGTAGATTTCCGTAGAAAGTGGCTCTTGTGAAATTGACATGCATGTCGAAGGCGCAGGCTCGCGCAAAGTGTGTGTCCACGTTCTGGGCTGACTCTAAGGCGCGGCATTTTACCTGTAAATTTCTCATGAAGTGGCTCTCGTGAAATGTTGACATGCATTTCGGCAGCGCAGGCTCGCACAAAGTGTGGTCCTAGGTTCTGGGGCGCGGCATTTTTCCTGTAAATTTCTGCAAAAAAGGGCTCTTGTGAAATGTTGACATGCATTTCGACTGCGCAGGCTTGCAGAAAGTGTGTGTCTGCGTTCTGGGCTGACTCTGGGGCATGGTGTTATCCCTGTAAATTTCCGTATAAAGTGGCTCTTGTGAAACGTTGACATGCATTTCGACTGCAGGCTCGCACAAAGTGTGTGTCTGCGTTCCGAAGTGGCCCTTGTGAAACGCCGAAGTGCATTTCGACTGCGCAGGCTCGCGCAAAGTGTGGTCCTAGGTTCTGGGGCGTGGCATTTTTCCTGTAAATTTCTGCATAGAGTGGCTCTTGCGACATGTTGACGCGCATTTTGCTTGCGCAGGCTCGTGCAAAGTTTGGTCCTAGGTTCTGGGCCGTAGCATTTTCCCTATAAACTTCTGTATAAAGTGGCTCTTGCCGGTGTTTTTGTTTGTCTGTATGTCCAGAAATGATCCGGTTTTCGTGTTCTGATTTGAGCCAGTTCTTGTGTTCAGAAATGATCCAGTTTTCGTGTTCCAAATTGAGCCGTCTACCTCTCTAGCAACATCATGTTGTGTTTGCAAATGGCGGCTACCCACAAACCACATTCAGCCCGAACAAAGGCATCGTTTCCTCCTATTCTCACCCGGAAGCGCCATTCCAAGCGTGGCAATATGACTCAATACGATCTGGACTATACCCCATTTTGTCACGAGATTTGGAATTTGTGCTGTTCTGACCAGGAAGTCTTCGAGCGCTCTCGGCCAAGCTTTTACTTGGTTGGCAGCTGGGACTCTTGGCAGCAGAGTATTGACCCGATGAAGAACTCACCACGTTGCCATGGCCATACATGATTATTCGTAATCATACAATGTCATAATCATACAACATTAATTACACAAGTACAGGTAGGTACTTTACGTGTAGCATTGCGTAGCTACATATTACACACCTTTTATGTTTTATTTATGGGAACTGCAGCTTGCCGGAGGGATCCGTGGTTAAACATGAGTGCTTTTTCGCATGAAGGCTTTCTTTTCTGCATGCGAGTTTCATTTTTTCAGTTTGTTTGAAGACAGTCTTCCTGCAAGGTGTTTTTTATCTGAAGAAACATCACTTTTACTTGGCCAACCGGCATTTTCGGGACAATCTTTGTTTAAAGGACAGTCAAATTCGCAAGCCATGTTCGTTGTGCATAAAGGGTTTTTTCGAAAGCAACAATCACTTTTTGAACAACTTTGGAACCCACCGGTGAAACTTGTACGCCTAGGATTTGCAGTTGAACATAGATAAGACATGATAAGACACATAGATAGGAGTACAAAAAGACGTGCATATGCATATCATTTTTTGTTTTCTTTTTCCTCACTGCACATCCTGAGGATTGTTTCATGCGGCGAACAAAGATGCGCCATGTGCTCAGTCAGACTGTGGAACAAGAGTAGCTCGGCCAAGGACTTTTTAAGTTCAAGGCCAAAAGCTTTCCTCACTCAGATCGTCAGACCGCATTCTTCACAGAACTCAAGACTTTGACATGCAAAAGTTGGGCTCAAACAGGGCTTTCATCCCAAGTCTCCACTGAACCCACTATGGTTGCTGCCAGCAGTTCCTACCATTGAATGCCTCAGGCTTTGATGGACTCCGGCAATGCTACGTCGGCCGTGTGCCGGTGCCGGTGAGAGGCTGGGAACACATCCTGCGTTGAGAATACGGACCATTCTGACATTCATAGAGTTCTCATAGACGGTCAGCATTCTGCTAGTTGTATGGTCCAGTAGGGTAAATCTTGCGTCATTTGACCTTTGTTCTGCAAAGTCTGTTGCTGACTGCTACATAAGTGAAATTGAAGTTTCTGATGTGATCATGTATGGCAACAGAGCAAGGGGTTTTGTCACCTTGCCATTTTCAACATGCTTCGGTGGTTCCTAACACAGAATGCTGCTTCAATGTTGTTTGTGCATACCTGAAGTTGACCACTCTTGTTTCCTTGCATTTGCGCCCTATTCAAGAACAAAGTGCTGATATCGGAATTGCTCTGGTTGCTACAGTGCTTCCCAAGACAGGAAGGAACAAAGACATCACTGAAGCATGAGAAAAGACAACCACCTGTGCCAGGTTGTGAATTCTTCCAAATTCTTTCTAACGGTGATTGGAACAGCATCCTGCATCCTGGCAAGCACGAGGCGCCACCCCGTATGGCGTGCTTCGATTTTCCCGCCAACAACAGTGTTGTTGGCGAGTTGCATGTCACTTCTTTTGTTGACACTCAGGTTGAATGGCTGTTTGACCTTTTCCGACTCTGTCATCAGGTAATTACTTGGTGTACTCTATATAGTACTTTTTTGTCCTCTTTGACACGTTTGTTGTATTTAAAATTTGGTTGTTGGTTTCTGCTGTTTCCTGCCCTGCATTGTATGGGTTCTGTCAGTGCTTTTCATGCCACTTTCAAAGCCATGCATCCTGCATTTGATATGCCAGGGAGGGATGGATGCATCAGCCCAACGAGGCTGCTTGCTGTGAGTGAAAGTTTGATGAGTATCTGGTCTTAGGTTTCCGACATGGCTTGGAACAGGTCTGTTGCAACTCACACAATGAAGACTCTTGTGGGCAAGCCCATGGTTGCAAGATGGCTACAAGACCTAAGATCTCACGGCAATGGGTTTGGAAAGTTCGCGGTTGTAGGGATTCCGGCCCGTTAGATATTTACATTAGGTTTAATAATAATAATCCTACTTCTACTAATAATAGGTAATTATTATTATAACATGTATACATACGTACACACATATATATATACATACATACATACACTACATACATATACATACATACATACATACATACATACCTACATACATACATATACAGACATACATACATACATACATACATACATACATACATACATACATACATACATACATACATACATACATACATACATACATACATACATACATATACATACATACATACATACATACATACATACACATACATACATATACATACATACATACATACCATACATACATACATACATACATACATACATACATACATACATACATACATACATACATCATACATACATACATACATACATACATACATACATACATACATACATACATACATACATACATACATACATACATACATACATACATACATACATACAGATATTATGCTTTTTGACAAAGGTTTCTCCAGGGAGCTGCAGGGGCCTTGCCTCTGGAATACGGCCCCTCGGTCTCGAGGTGGTGGTGTTCGTAGCTACCCTTCTTGGCGAATAGATGCAGCCTGGGCACCCACAGAGAATGAGGGATACCAGCGGACTTTGGCGGATTTCTTTGCTCTTCTATTGTAGACTCTTTTCCTTGTTTGAAATACACGATTTAATGAATTTACTGTACCAAAGGTGTACAGCTTCCACTCAGATTTAGAGTTTCGCAGAGAATCGGTGAGATATCCTCATATTATTCTCATATTTTTCGATTTCCAAAAAACATGTCAGACTGGTCGCTGAAGCCCAGAAGACATAAGGAGCCAGAAGCGCAGAGCAGGAGACAACAGCAACGTTTCGAGGCAAGGATGGATTGCATTGCAAGTACAGAAGTTTCTTGCAATCTTTTGTGTTTTTTTCCCGCAGCCTGTGGGGTATATTGATGCATGAATACACACACACAGTTGCTCAGAACTGTCATTGCGAATTTTGTTGTGGAATGCATCTTACGTGCAAAAACAATCCAGTTACACCTGACCAGAAAGGACGAGGAATGGAGAATTGGAAACTGACCATTCCCTTCGATTGCAAAAAAGGAAAACCAGATTGCGACAACAGTGCAGTGAAAACTGGAAACTAATGATCGGCATGCCGGTTCTTGGCTTAGCCGGTTGCCATATCACAGGAAAAAATAAAATTGACAGAGTGATCTTGCAAGCTATGTCCACGACATCCATGCCAAGATCTGCAGGTACAGGTGAATGATCAGTTCACCCTTCCCCCATCATACCATAGCTTCGTTGCGTCAGGTAGGTATGACGGGCCTGACACCCCTGCTGTGAAAATCAAACTCAAACAAGAAACATCGGAATGAAAAAGAGGTAAGACGACATGTAGAAATTTTACATCTATTCAGAGGTTCCACACACACATGTATACACAATATGTCCTTTGATGTTGTCTAAAACAGTATTTTGTCTCCTCAACCCTTGCCTCTTTGTTGGTTGCTGTGCATGAGCTGGAACCAAACGCCGTATTTGCAATGATGGACAGAATCTTCCCCTGAACCAATTTTGCCGTGTCCAGACCTTATGCACTTGACAAATTGATCACTTTGATCAAATTTGACGGGGAATGACAGCGAGAGATTTGGCCGCTCCGGTATCATCTCATGTGTTGAGCTGGAGTGCCTCTCGAGTGCCTGGATTTGTGCAGGTCCTTTTGAACACCAAGACCTTCCGAGTTCAATGGCAACTCTGCCAGGACCTGAAGGGCCTGCGGGCCACCAATCAATCCCTAATCTCTACAGCGAATTCTGCACCTATCCGCACCAAAACCTTGGAAACTTGCCAAGTAAGCAAGAAAAACATAGAAGAAACCGGGAAAAACATCAGGCTTACCTTGGCTCTTCAAAACGGCCAGTGTCACTGTGGAGGCTTCAACAAATCCAACGGCACAGTTCCAAATGGCTCAGCGGCGATCTAATCGGCTCAGGTGCACCTGGTGAAGAGAGCAGCGATGAGGAGCTGTGCAATCTCTTAGCAAAACTCATGCACACTATACTAAGGAGGTCACTCTGTGTAACTAAGTCCGCGGTCTTTGATTGACCTGTTGGTTATTTCAGCATTCGTGATGGTTCAGATGTTGTCCAATACACGAAGTCCACTACATGTAAACTACATTGCACGTGACTACATGTATGTGACTACATTAAGTTAAAGCATGGAAATGAAGCATGGACTTTCAATGGAAATAGCTCAAGTGCTAAACATGTTGAATTATGTTGAGACTACCTTAGACTCTTGAGAAAGAACGCAGGTTTGCCGTTGTTTTTTTGTGCATGTGAGGAGCTTGACCCGGAGCTCTATGGACCACCAGGTGTCTTAGGTCTTTAGCAATCTCCGAGACGTCCAGCATAGGCATCCTGCTGCTACATTGCGGGTTTACTCCTTAATCCAAACAGTTTTTGACCATCACATTCAGGGAAGATCTGGGAAGTAGTTGCCTCGGAATTTTGGACATGCTTCCAATGTCCGTCCCGATTTCTCTTGGCTCACTATTGGATCTGCTTGGACGATCTGTCGTCACAATTTGCAAGCAGCAGCAAATGTGTTTGCAATCCAACTCCAAAAGATTTCCATACATTTTCTGTTTTTTCTATTTTACGCAAAAGATCTTGGACTCCTCCATGTCGGACACCTTTGCAGTTTAGTCCTTGCTGCAGTCTTGCAACTGCCGACTTCCAGCCTGAACTGACATGGTTCCACATTGTGGGACTGTCAGGGATGGCAAATCTGTGCTCTGAAGATTCTGAAGTATAGGGCGCGCAACACTCTGACTGACTAGTCTTGAAGTGAATCTTGTTACAAGATGTTACAAGGCTGAACCATGATCACTGCCTTCCTGCATTGGTTTTCAAAAAGTATGGTATACTTGACAGCGCAGGAGAACTTTTCCTGCCCCGAATGCAGCTCTGCAAAGCATGTTTGCCAAGCTGCCCGTATCTTCCATTCTATGCGACAGGCTTCTGTTGCCGTTCCTGAAAACAGGAAGTGATCCATCACCAAACCATTGGACAGCAATAGAAAGCCGTGCGAGGCAGTTGAATTTATTTGAGACTGCAGGGAACGTTTGTCATCCAGGTCATCCACTATACTTAGGGAAAAAACAATGGAAACATATTGCATTATATACTACATGCATTTCAGTGAATGCTTGGTTGTAGCCTGATCTCAGACACCTTATTAGCTTTGTGGTTTGAGGCCGTTCCCCGAGTCCCACCAGGAAATTGGGGGCTCAGTGCCCAATCAGATTCTGCTCGCAAAAAGGAATCAGGGATAATCAGAGTACAGTTGCCATTCGCCAGCATGTGCCAGTGAGCCTGACATACACATCAATTCAGAAGCATATCATTATTACCTTCGAATCTTCGATGTCACCATTGCCGCCAAAATTGCCTTTGGCTTTACTGTAACAGCCAAACCCCCACAGCGCTTTCTATCACCTCAGCAGGTGACACCACACACCAAGGCATCTTGATCACACGCTCGTCTTCTTCTGTGCAAGAGATTGCATTGACATACTCACGTGGTGAAAGTTCCAACTACAAGGTAGGAACCATGTCCAGGTCAAGGCATCTCCTTCTTCCGCAGAGTGTGTTTTCGCCTGATGCTGCGATTTGCTTCCCCTGGCTACATTGCCGCTGGGGGCTTCTTCGTGACCTTCCTGAGAGTGCAACTGGACCTGATCCAAATTATGAGAAAACGGGAAGTCACACAAGGCTTGTTGTGCCTTTTGGCTGAGAAAATTATTTAATTGCCTTCGGCAAGCCCGCCGGCCATAGAGAGGTGGCCCCAAGGGAGTTTGATGTGCAGCTTCTGTGTGTAAAAGTGTCTGTGTGTAGAAGCTTCTGTGTGTAAAAAGCTTCTCTGTGTAAAAGCTTCTGTGTGTAAAAAGCTTCTCTGTGTTAATGCGTTTGTGTGTAAAAGGTTCTCTGTGTAAAAGCTTCTGTGTGTAAAAAGCTTCTCTGTGTTAATGCGTTTGTGTGTAAAAGGTTCTGTGTGTAAAAGCTTCCGTGTGTAGCAGCTTCTGTGTGTAAAAGCATCTGTCTGTAAAAGCTTCTGTGTGTAAAAGCTTCTGCGTGTAAAAGCTTCTGTGTGTATAAGCTTCTGTGTGTAAAAGCTTCTGTGTGTAAAGGCTTCTGTGCGTAAAAAGTTCCAATTTCATTTCCTCCATCGTCATATTTAGGTTTTTCAAATAATGCCTCCGTTCTTATGTTAAGTTTCATGCTTCTGTTCTTTCTTAAAAACTCTAATAGTCTTGGTTTTTGGTGAGCAATCATTTCTAATCCTCTTTCTCCTTGAAAGTGTTTGTTTTCTAAAACTATTGAATTAGCATATCTTCTAAATGCTGATTGAATATCTCTGACACGAAATTTGTTTCTTATTGCGTGTTTGGTTATTAATTGTCTAACCCGTTCTCTACTTACAACATCCGTTGCCTTTTTCATGGCATAACTTCTGTATTCATTAGTTTTCTTTATTGTCAATAATTTCGTTGTTAAAACATTAGATATAGGTTTATCTTTGTTGTATCTAAATTTCTTGTCATCTATGATTATTGATTTTAATTCTGTTCTTCCTCTTTTTGGTATTTCTGCTAAACCATTATCCAATAGATAGTTTATAACTTTTTTAATCATATAATAGTATATATTTTATTAAGTTAATTAATCTTTTAAGTAGTTTTTAAAAGAATTTACTGTTTTAATCATTGAATATATACTTAAAGAATA